GCCCGTACGCGAATCTTCATAATCGTCACTCTCCCAGAGCTGTGCGGCAGAAAGTTCATTCGCCAGAACATCCAAGAGATGCTCAGCGGCCGCGGGCTATGGGGTAGGTTGAGCGATCGCGGATAACCCACGAAGACATTGCCACTTACTGTTGCCACCTCGGAGCCGGCGTCCTGCACTGGTGAGGAGTCTTGCGTAGCATTGAGATATACCCCTAGAACAGCACGTACGTCCCGAAAAAACAAATTCAGGTTCTCGCGTAGAGGGTTGTCGAAGTCGTCCACCGGATTGGAGAAGTTGGTATGGCGTCGACGAGCAGCGTATTGCTGCTCAACTTCGGATCAGCACAAGACGTTGACGTACGTGGGACGCTCAAACCCACGGGCATATAGAAATCCACTCCAAGATTGAATACGTAGGGAGTTCCGTCGGCGTTCTCGTGCTTGTACAAGCAGTCACTTCCAAAGGGGCAGTACCTGTCATGAGACGGGGATGCTTTGAAATACCTGACGTCGATCAGAAGAAGCCTAGAATGAAACGAGAAACGCACTTACTTGCATGGAACCCGCGACGCACTCTCCTTGTATCGTTTCAACGCGGCCGCCTTGCCTGGGTGGCCCTCGGGGTAGTAATGACTTGAAGGGATGACAAGACTGGACAGTGTTCTGCAGTAGGGACAGCGCTTGTTGGCTCGATGTGCCTCTCCATCCGGATCGTCCTGATTGTTCTTCTGGTCGCGCCATTGCTTGACGCACTGTATATACTACAGTCAGTCGTGTAATCAAAGATCTCGGCGAGAGGAACGAACTTCGAGACAAAATGCATGGGTACAATTGCCTTATAAAGCACATGATGAGTTGAAGGTCAAGAACAGGAACACTCTCGACTCACTAAGTAGCCCAAAAGTGACCGGTTGTTCAAGACAGATGCCGCAAACGTCGTCTGTAGGAGGCGGGGGCCGTTCGTCCGCAGGTAAAGATCGTGGGTCTGGCATGACATGTCGGTACCAACAACTTGCTCCCCGTTTACAGAAGCCTTTCCAGAGTATCAATGAGAGAATATGAGTTCAGAAGAGGGAGAACGTACCCGCAGCGTAGTAGCGGCATGTCTTCGCCTTGTCAAACGGCGTCAACTGCTCATCGCCATGCAGAAACTTGCAGGCATTGCCGGCCAAACAGCCACGCGGCCCTTTATTGTAGTAACTACAGACTCCGCGGGGTTTAGAGGTACTCGGTCTGCTCGTCATGGCGGTTCAGGACATGGTTATGAGTCGGCGACCTGCGACTACGCGCCACGGTCATCCTCCGACTGCGACGAGACGCGACTTGATCTTGAACCACCATGTCTCTCGAATCGACCTCGACCCTCAAGAGCAAAATCAGTCTGGGTCTTGGAGAGCACGCGCCTAAATACTGGACGACTTTGCGAGATTTCTTGACCGCCAAGATCTCGCGTACGGAATTTGAGGACGAAGTCAGACAATACCTGGACACTATCGCACTCGGTAAGCCATCATATGTCCTCGATTTGCATGCCTATCTCAATGCATACAGTACAGCTGCATAATAATCTTGTTATATCATTGTTCGATCCCTCCACGCACAAAGTTGCCGCACTCACGCCGCCTCCGGATGCAGCCGCTCAAAGTCGTGCACGTAAACGGCGCCGGCTCTTGCCATATCAGGGGGAGGGAGATGATGATGTGAACCACCTACGCTCGGAGCGCCTTAAACAGTGGGTGGTAGGCGTCGGCAGGCGTGAACGCGATCGTATACGTGGTCTCGGCAATGCAGCGCTCTCTTCAGAGCGACGACCTCGGCTGGGAGCCGATGAGATAGCGAGCGAACGTGCCGTCTCACTACCAACTGAGCGAAGAGGTACGCCTGACGCCCAAATACTCAGTACTGTGTCTCATGTATTGCAGATCCAGCCGGCAGTCGACCTTCCGTGCAGTTGGCATCCTCCGCCCGAGGATTTACTCTCGGTCACGTCACGGATAGGATCAACCTCATTTGTGCGCAACATGACCTCGCTCAGCCTCCATCAAGGACAGTGGCATCCTTGATGGCTCTTGCTTTTGAGGTCAGAGATTCGCGCCTGGACATTATTCATTTGCCTTACACATCTTTGCAGGCAAAGTTGAAGCAATTAATCATCGAGGCGCTTGCGATGACGACCTCCTCGCATGCTATAAGCTCCATCAAGCCTTCAGCACCACACTCTTCTGGAAATATGCTCTCGACGTCGGCCTTCGACACCTTGTTCAGTGTGGCTCCGGCCTCCCTGCCGAATGGCTCTGCCGCTGCCACACGCCTGACGTCGGGCGAAATCGACAACAGGGATCACCATAATCCATCGCTCTCTGAGGAGAGCAGAGATCCCGACAATCCGCAATGGCAGCTCCTCGCATTGCTTCGCGAACGTAGCGGTATGGAGAGTCTAGAGACGCCCTGGAAGTAGCCACCATCTCTGTGCTTATCGCTTGTGGGATGTTATACTTCCTATTCTATATACCCTTTGATTCACAACGTACTCGCTTTCGTTCATCTGTACATGCACTAGAGCTACGGTGATCCACTACCGACCGCACGAAAAGATGATGTATGTGGGTCAATGTGGGTTAAGGTACATACCCCGATCCTTGACGGCGATCCGGGAAGCCCGATAAGAGCGATAAGTGACCGGCTTTTCTTATTCGAATGCCTCGCCTGACGGTCCGCCACAGGGGTCTCGTATAATGACTCTAGCCCGGATTGTCCATGGGATGATTTATTGATCCGTTGCAGGGATAAAAGGTGGGGATGCTTTCCTGACGTCGTAGTCTTCGTCTTCCCCACATTCGTCATCTTTCGACGTTTAGTAAAGTTCAACGCGCTCAAATCGAAGAACCAACGCAATGGTTACCACTCTCCGCTGGGGTATCATCTCTACGGGCCGCATCGCGGGCTGCTTCATCCGTGTAGGTACTCTGATCTATTCCTATGAAGTCATGTCTGACCGAAATATCTTGTGCTATAGGACATGCTCGAGGATCCGAAGACGTATGCGACTTTCGCGTATTACTCATTTATGGCTGACGCTTACGATCTGTACATAGTCGTGACGTAACTGATGTTGTGCATCAGGTTGCGGCTGTAGGCTCGCGCAGTGTCGAGAGTGCACAGAAGTTCATCGACGCAGAAGCCGGTGCCAAAGCGTCCGGGATCAAGGCCTACGGCTCTTACGCCGAGGTATACGCTGATTCCGTATGCCAATTTCGTGCTTGATATCCTTTCATTCACTAATGGTGAACGCAGAATGTTGACGCCGTGTACATCGGCACGCCACACACCCTCCACTACGGCAACACAGTCGAAGCGCTGAAAGCCGGAAAGCACGTCCTCGTCGAGAAGCCTGCAACATCTAACGCTGCTGAGTGGCGTGAGTTATGCAAGCTAGCCGCCGAGAAGAAGCTCTTCCTCATGGAAGCAATGTGGACTCGCTTCCAGCCGGTCGCCCGCGCTATTCGTACACTCATCGATGAGGGCTCTCTCGGCCGACCTGTCGTGGTAGACGCAGACTTGTCTGCTGACTTCGACATTGACAGTGAGTGATCCGTATGGGCATGCATGCCACGAGGAACTCACGCGTATGGTGCCAGACCTTCCCCTCACCCACCGCATGATGGACCCGAAGCTCGGCGGCGGCGCGATCCTCGATCTCGGTCCATATCCACTCATTTGGGCGATCCTCGCGTTGTACGAGGACTCCGCGAACGACAAGCAAGTTCAGCCAGGCGTGGCCGCCTCCATCATAAAGACCCCGCAGACCGGCGTCGACATGAACACGTCCTTCGCATTGACGTTCCCCACGATCCCGGCGCAAGCGCGTCTTTCGTGTGCGATGAACGTGCCCGGCCGCACACCGGCCGCCATCATCCGTTTCCGCGCGGGCACAATTGAGATCCCCGGTCCGCCGTATGCACCCAAGAGCTACACCGTGCGCTACTTCGATAAGAAGAACGATGACAAGGTGATCAAGGAGGAGACGCACAACGTGGACTGGGTCGGAGGTGGATGGCACTTCCAGGCAGATGAAGTCGCGCGTTGCATCAAGGATGGTAAGCTCGAAAGCTCGCTTTGGGGGCACGACAAGACTACACTGGAGATGACTATCTTCGACGAGGTATGCAGAATAGTCCGATAGTCTCGCTTCTCGAGCTGACACCTGGATAGGTGAGGCGCCAAGGTGATTATAAGTTGCCTGACGGCGTCGAAAAGGTAGTATGATGTTGGCTCTCATGCATAAGCTGCGATGTATCATGTATTACTATTGAAGAAAGTTACATTGACATACGGAAATTCTCGCCAGGAAAACACGTTCTCAAGTTGTTTGTCCACAAAGAGTGAATACAATAGATGGGTGTGTTGGTGACGCGCAGCCACGCATGCGGCAACGGCTTTGCATACTGGGCGAAGCCTCCACGTAATAGGTCCACCGTTATCCACCTCCTCGACCTCTCTTGGAAACCATCTCAGGGTGAGCGACTCTAGATGTGGAAAGAGCAATCCGTTTGCAGGTGATGCGGCTAAGCCGGCGTCGCTTAGCTCTTGGAGTAGATCGGGTGAGATTGGTAGAGTGATGGTCAGATTGCGAACCGCACGCGCGGATCCTAGCTCCTTCAACCAAGATCTGGGTTCGTTGCCGGACCAGTTGACTTCCACCGAGACGAG